GTTCCCCGGCTGCGCCGTCACTCTCCTCCTCTTCGACCACGTGAAAAACGCCGCTGCGCTGAGAAAAAAGGCCATGGAAGGAGCCATCGAAGGAGCATTAATAAACCCTGCAATGGTGAGTGGATGCTCGTGTTGTCCTGCTCGTCCCACGTTACGCTTTTGAAGGCGGTGTGGAAATCCTCTGCAGAAACTGAGGAAAGACCAGCCCGTGTGACCCCCGTTACACCAGTTGCTGTACATGTACTTCACTTTCTCTGTGCAAAACGCCCCTCTGATTTCGTGAGTGTCGTGCAAGCGCGAGGGTTCATGTGTGCAAAAGAAAGAGCGAGCCCTGGCACGACTGGCCGAAACAATCGTCTCGATTCACTTCGCACCCTGCTTGGTGGGGCTATTTAAAGTCTGCTTCCATCTGTAAAATGTAGTAAAAAATTGTGTAATACACTGACACAAATCATGACTGACTGGAGCCTTTGTTCTCATTTAAACCCATAAATAGTTTCTGAATCTAGTCTTTTTTTTTTTGTTAAAATTAGAAAATCTATAGTTAGAAAAGGAGGGGGGGAAAGAATCTAATCTGGCAATTTACTGACAGAAGATTTATTAATGTGAGTCTTTTTTCAAAAGATTTCAGTAAGCTGAGAGAGTGTAACCTTTATTTTTGTGTCAAGTGCTACCCCACTCGGTAAATAATCACATTGACTTTTGAAGAACAAGAATTGCCAAAATAACTTGCAGGATACAGTGTTGCTCACTTCTATGATTACAGATTTTTATCAAAATTCAGTGGTCAGGATTTTTTCAAGAGTTCAAAATAGCATGTTAAATTTCTGTTTAACTTTTTCTGTTGTGTTTTACAGATTGTAGATCCTTTTCAAGTTCTTGTGGCAGCCAACAAAGCAGTTCATCTACACAAGATGGGTAAAATGAAGACCAGAACTCTCTATGCAGAAATTATTTTCAGCCTTTCACCAGGCAACAATGTAAGATTTACTGAACAAATGCCTTTTTTTGCCAGAGAAACTTGCTAAGATCCATACAGCCAAACTATATATAGGTATTCACTTAACTATTTGCCTGGCTACTAATGGAAGTTACTGTTATTTTTATAACACTAATATGCTGTTATCTCTTGTAGCTCATCAGAATTCCATTAATGTAAAACCTACATCAATTTATACTCTTGGTTTATTTGACCCAGTAACTGAAAAGGTTGCTTATCTGTAGTGAGAAAGTGACTCTGATACGTTTCATCTTTTCTTAGATTTCAGATGCATTTAAAAAGTTTGGCATTTCAGACAGTGACACAGCAGTACTCATTGTTCTGGTTGTGGACAGAGAAAAAAATGTTAATCTGGAAGATATAGCATCTCAGGTAGAAGGCCAACAGATTCCTCTAGATGAACTCCCGCAACTCACAGACACCGCCAAAGTTAAAAAGGTATGTAACCAAAAGAGATGACTGGCGTAGACAAAAGGGATGGTTTATTTACTTGTCTGATTAAATATCAATGGACATAATTAACTTAGGGTTTGTATTTCCTTAGCACAACTGGAAACTTGTTTTAAGTGAAGCTTGATTATTTCTATCTTATGTGGTTTTTTTACTTGAAAAAAGTTCTCGTCACACACTGACATCGCAAATTTAAGGCATCAAATTCTTAACATTGTCAGGAAGTTGGAACATAAAAATAAATTCCAGATTGCCGCCTACCATTCAGGCACTTTTGCTTCCTGTTTTCTCAGGCAAATATCAGTTTAATTAAAAATAAATTTTCAGTCCTGAACAGTTTCATAATCTTAGGCACATAAATAGTCCCAGCATGGGCGGCTAAAATAAAAATGTGTTGATTAGCTGCTAGGAGCTGTGTTAGGGTGTGTGTGCTCTTAACGGATTACCATATGGTAGGTAGGTATTTTGAAGCATATGTGTTCCACTTGAGAAAATTTAAGTAGTTTAAATCATCTTTATCATGTCCGTCAAAGTAATGATGGGAGACACATGAATAAAATCAGACAAATCATAACATATAACATGTAGAGCTAAAAGTGCTGCTCTCATTCCGTTTCTTAGCTTTCCTTTATGTCTTGCAGTTTCAGAATTTGCTTGGTTCCTCGCTCCAAATTTTGTCTTGCAGTTGCAACAAGACTGGACTTTCTATTGTAAAAAGTGGGGGGAAATGTTTTCTTGTGTACATGTTTTTAGAAGATACATGATCAATTTTTTTCTTCATTATACAGCTTTTATGTTTTTCTTGTTCTTTTTTTCCGCAGATGTACAAAGTTACTCCGCAGGAAGAAAAAATCAGCACCTTATTGGATAGCGTTGTTTGCAGAATGTCAACAAAAGATGCTTTATGAAAATGGGGAAATAAATTTTTTTTTAAAGGAAAAAGAGGGCTTTTTAAGATGTAAAAACACTTCATTGCAATTCGTCCTGCATTTCAGAAAAAGTGGTGTAGTACCAAGTAGTTTGATGACATCTGAGCTTTAACCATAAATGAGCAGATTTGGATATGGGGGTAATCAGAGCTGTATTCCAAGCACAGAGAGTGATTCTGCTGTGCAAAGCAGAATATGCCATTGGCATTTCTGTCCATTTTTTTAACAAAAGAAAAAAATCACTTTTGCAAGTACCTTAAGTTGATCATAAACAGAAGGCTTCTCTTTTCATCAGATGTTTTGCTAGTCCCAGATGGGATTTCAAACATCGTAAATCATTTTTATTGACCCTGCCCTGATTTGTTTTGTTTTGGCACCCCTGATGGATGATATCCTTTTAACGATACTACTGCCAGAAAAGGTGTGTCTGTAGCATGAAGTATTGCCAATGGAGTAGAAAAAGGAAAGTTTCCATAAACTATGAGCAACGCCTCCCTCTTTCTGCTACTGGGATAGAGTCACTGCCCACCCGTTGGGAACACAAAGGGGCGGGGTGGAGGGGGCACTGGTGGAGCAGAGGCATCAGCCATGTGCAGAACAGTGAGTAAGGTCAGTATGGAAGATGCTATGGTGGCCGTAGCACCTGACAGTCTGATGTCATCAGGTACAGTGGACTGCTGAGGTGGTGGTGCGCTGCCGTGGTACTTTTGGTGTCAAAGGGTAACAAGAGGTGCTTTTACTTCATAATATTGAATTATGCATGGTGATGCTGACTTCCTAGGGCCTGGTTCCAGGTGCAGAATTCACAGAGAAATTTGCACCATAGATTTACTCACTTAAATTGTCAATATAACTTACATAGCATTCTGAAAGGATCGTTGAACTCATTTTGGTTTGTTGAACCAGTGTTCGGAAAGGACATCAAAGGGAACTAAAAAGAATATTGATTTCCAATAGCCACCAGGTCCAACAGCCCTGCGTTCCATTTAATCACACGCATGCATGCTGTTTAAGAAAAATTACTGTCCTAAGTAGGTAGAAATCCATACTGTTTGTTATTGTTACACTGTATTGTTTTTCTGGGATAAAACTGGCAGAAAAAACTGGCATAAAACTGTATGGCTGTCTGCATTTTTGTTTTTTTTTTCCCTAATGCTCTCTGAGGTATTGCAATTTGTGTCCTTACAAGATAGTTGGAAGAGTATGCCTGAGATTCTTACACATAGAGCTTAGGAAAACAAAATATATTTGGGAGGAAAGGCAAGTCTGAGTTAGAGTTGCAATGTTATCCACTACAGTAAACAGACGAGCAAAGTGACATACAGACCTAGTATTGTCTGTGTTTCTGTATTTAATATGGAAATCCCTAGCTTCTGTTTTGCATTTTGATGTTGGTTAATTCTTCCTTCCATTAAAACACAGTAGTACAAATACCACCCTTTTTTTAACCAACCAACTCAATGGCAAAATACTTACCAAGTACCAAGAGAATTACAAGGTTTATCAAAAGAAATGGTTCAGGAGATTTCTTGCAGATTTTGTGCAGATTTCTTGATTTAAAGAAGGGTTTGCCAAATGTATCATCCTCTCTAAAAGGAGATGTGAAGCAGTAGTAAAAAAATGGACCTTGGAAGGGCCTGAGCCTTTTGAAATAAAATGTGCGTAACATCAGCATGTGAGAATGACCGTGGAATATAAGACTTGTTTTCGTTTTCTGACAGTCTAGTTGGTACATGGAGTATATCATCAGATTTGCTGGCTGAACTGCTTACATTGTTTTTGGTAGCTTAAAATAAGAGCAGACAGGTATGCTTAAACCACAGCCTTTTTTGAACATGTGTAAAACATCCGTCTGGTCTGTTTAAATAAAAGAAATATTAATAAGAAGATCACTGCATAACAATTGATATACACTTTCCAAACTTGGGTTCCCAGTTTCTAATGCTTGTCAGTCTATTTCATTGCTGTAGAAACAGTAAATAGTTTGTTACTGTTGACATGAGTTAAATTATGAAATTGGGACTTACTGTGAGACCTGAATGACCTGTTTGCAGGGTGGATTTACTGGAAATGATTTTTCAGAGCTGTAGCCTCCATAGTATCATTCGGTCAGGCAGATGATTTGGGTCTGTTGGCAGTGAGAGACTACGCCATTTTCCCTGCAAGTTCCCCTTGTCCTAGTTGCATTGTCTAACTAAATTAAATTATTCACAAAACCCGGTAGTGTAGATTTTGACCCTGCAAAGTTAACACTTGTCTTTCTGAACACATTAAAAATTAGCAAATTTGGATCTATAATGCAATCGTTAAATCAACCGCTGCCCTTTTCTACCAAGGGAAAAGTTTAAGGAAAAAAGGATTTGTTTTCAAAACATTTAATGTTCTGCAGCTGTCTCCTCTGAACTTTCATACCTGGTCTTCTCTATCACAAGGTGAAAGAAGCTGAAACATTTTCAATACATTATTTGGATCTCCAGTGTTTCAGAGGCAAGGTTATACCTGTGGGATTTATAAATTTAACAACTAAAGCCCAAAGTATGATGTGCGGTCAGCTATTCTAGCTTTTCTTTGTTGTAGGTAGGGAGGTGGTAGTTGGTTTTTTTTTTACCTGTGCTGCCTTTTTAACATTGTGTGTATGACACAAATTGAGCAAAACCAGCAGCCTGTGCTTCTAAAAGGCGATGGCTAAAACATCATCCACGACAGGACTCCCTTTCCTGCTTGAATGCTTTGAAGTTTCTTAGGGGGAGGGGGGTGAAAAAAAGGAGACAGGGCAAGCAAGAAACAGCCTGTACCAAGCCATCTTTCACAATGACTTTGTAACATGCAGTAAAGCCAGCCCAGGTAGATCTCATATCTGTCCAAACTGCTGGCCTGACCATCACTTCAGAGGTGTACCTCTGGGCATGCAGCAGCAATGCGGACACATACTCAAGGAAAACTTGCCCGTCCTGTTGCGATGGAGGTAGTCCGACAGTCCAGCAGCACACCAGGGTTCGTCAGCAGCACACCAGGATTCGCCAGCAGCCTTCACCTGAGGGCTGGTGCAGGTGTGTGGGATCAGATGTGTGCCTGACTCATGGCTGTGGGAGTTCATATTTTGGCACATGGCAAATCTTGCAGTGATGTGAAAGGGACAGTCGGAGGTTCTGCAGGGGAAGAGGAAGCTGAGGATAGGCTGTCTCCCGTCAGGATGACTCCTCCTGAGTGCTCTGCAGCCAAGACTGCAGGCCACCGTGATGAATGTGGCAGCACAAGCAATGCAGATTAACTGATCGGGCAGCTCAGTTTATGAGCTGCAGCCTGTACATCTCTGAACTATGTGTCTGATATTAGTAAACTGCATATTTCTAAAAGCTACCTGTGTCAGAACAAATAGCCAATCTGATTTGCAAAATGTTCAGCAAAGGAAAAATGCATGTCAGCTGTCAGTGGCCAGTTCCAGGAGTGAATTCCCCTCACCATTACATGTGCCCTCTCTCCAGCTCCGCTCACTGGCTCCTCTCTTCTGTCATCCTGAGATGCTCTTACTTGTCTGCTTTTCCTTCCAAAGCCCTTCACCGTTCACATTGGTCTCCTATAGCCTAAACTTACCCTCTTGCCTTGTTGTGTTTTCAAAGCAGCAGATTCAGGCCTGCTTCTGTGCCTCCTTCAGCTGGAAGAAGCTCCCTTCATCATTTTCAAAATAAATAATGATTCAGTACCACTCTGAGCCATTGTCAAATCTCCCTCTCTCCTGCAAAAGCCTCGATGACAGTAAGCTTCCAGCGTGCTGGTGCCATGGCCTGTCACACACCCCAGTCGCTTGGGGTTTTTTGTACTACTGTCAGAACATCTAAATCCCTCTCTCTTCTTATTTACTTTTGCATGTAAAGGTACTTAGTACATTTACAAAGGAGGTACCATCCTTTTGCTTTCACTTGGAACATTAGTTCATACTATATGGTTTATGACTGGGGTCCCTATGTCCTATGACAATGTATTTAATGCACTGATTTATGCATTTATTTTTTTATTATTCCTTTGTGTGCTGTTCTTCAGAGAGCATCATCAAAGCTTTGCTCCCATGTTAATGCATGATGAGGTGGTGCCTTAACAAGGGTGTTTGCCCAAGTAGAGTAACACTGGCAGACGGCTGCACGGATACAGGAACGCTATTTCAGCACCCACACTCACCTGTTGGGAGCTGGCACAGGTGTCTCTGGTGCTACACTGAGCTTTATAAACACTTCTTGAGGTATGCCAGGCAGGTCTTCTCAGAAACATTTTAGTTTATGTACCCCTCCTGCTTGTGGATGGATACCAGAGCACAGTACACGATACTTGGAAGAATTGTGTTGTCTACAGGTACTACATAATTACACACATGTATCTATCTCTTCCTAAGTATTCAAAATCTCTTGCAGGATTTTTTTGCTTATTAAGATACTGTTCGTTAGTTTAGGCAATACTGAAATTTGGGGTTTAAGCTGAGTTTTAAGCTCCAAAGCTCCAAAAGCTTGGACTACTACAGCAGCTGCTGCCCCTCAGTTCTGCCAGTCCATTGACCTGATCTTATCAGGAGTAGGTAACCATACGATTAACAAAGAGTTTAACAGAGATTGCCAAGTGGCTGCATTTCCAGAAAGCTTGCAGGTTTTCCAAGTGGAAGTACTTTCCTGTAAAAGTAGGAATATGGAAGGTTCCCCATCAAGGATGGGCTGGTGTATGTAGAGGTTGGCACTGCCATGAGGTAGGAAAAGCAAGCAGCGGTTGAAGATGGATTAAATATATTGGTACAAGATCGGAGCCTGAGCCAGTTGGTTCTGCACAAAGAATGCTTACAAATACAGTTTATTTCATGGTTTTATTCCTGAGTTTACAAAGGTATTACCATAAGTTAAAAATACGCAGATGCAAGACCCATCCTCCATATAAACTCTCTTCAGCAACTGAGATGAGAATTCAATTTGCTCAGAGGTCTTCCTTTGCCTGCAGGATAGCTGGTTATATTGATT